CTATCTTGGCCACTCCCTGGATCTCAGCACACTTTTGTAGAGCGTAGTTATATTTGGCATCGCTTCATGCCCTCTATACAATTTCCCAGTCCTGGGATTCATGTGCTGCTATAAGCGTAATCATCTGGTAGCGAATACATTTTCTTCTTTAAGCACTGAAACTTAAGAAAGCTTTAGGGTTTTTGTTTTTTGTTTTTTTGTTTTTGTTTTTGGAGGGGGTAGGTGTCACTGTGAACTGTTGACGACCTTTGCTGTGTTCACCATAACTACAGGTAATAAAAAAGTTTTCATTCCTCCTGTATCCCGTATTTAGACCCCAGTGCTAAAAGGAACAAATGATGGCACAAACCTTCACTGTGCGCCTACTCATTTTATTATTACTACAACTCGGGTTGCTATTATTTCCTCCACTTTACAGAGAAGGAAAAGACCTCAGAGAAAATTTATCAGAGATCATAAAGCCATTAAATACCAAAACAAAGATTTGAATTCAAGTCTTCTAACTTTAATTCCATTGTTTATTCATCTATGCCCCGGTGATATTAACTAATAAGCTCACATGCCAAACATAAACCCTACTCCCATCCATCACACCTTTACTTCTGAATGGGAACCACAAGGAAATCAAGAAAATAAAAGTCAAATGCAAGTAAATGGCAAGAATAAGCAAAAGAACCTTAGTGAGCTAGGATTCTCAAAGGACTTAAGGATTACGTGATTTCTCAAGCATCGAAGGACTATTTAGAACACTTAGTAGGGTCTTGGACACAGGTGCTCAATGAACACTTGAATGAAAGGGTGTTTAAAAAGTTTCACAGTGTCAGCCCACAGATTATTCATTTACAAAAGGAAAAATGTGCTTTAAAATGGAAAGATCTGGCAGTCACCATCTTAACCAAGTGATCATCTTAACATCACCAACAGTGGGGCAACTTGGCATTGTGCGCCTCTACTGATGCACTAAGAGATGCCCCACACAACCGGAAAGTGTAATCTAAATCTACTAAGAAAACAACCAGAAAAAATCCAAGATTTAGGACATTATACAACCGATTCTGATACTTGAGGAAGTTCAATGTCATGAAAAAATAAAGGCAGGGAGGACTATTACTGATTAAATTAAAAGAGGAGAGACATTAACCAAATGGGCATATAAATTGTGACTAGATCCTGGATGAGGAAAAAAGTTTTAAAAGACACATTGGGACAACAGGGGCAATTATTCCACACAGATCTATCATATTAGATATTACTGGGCTATTCGTCTCAGGTGTGGCAACGGCACACCTAAGGATGTAGAATATCCTTATTCCTAGGAGATGAATGCTTACGTATTCAGGGATGAAGTGTCATATTGCCATAACTTACTTTCAAATGATTCAGCAAAGCAGATAAAGTACTTGTGGTAAAATTTAACAGTTGGTGGATCTAGGGAGAGGTTATACTATTGTTCTATCCCTTCAACTTTTCTGCATATTTAAAAATGTTCAAAGTCAAAATATTTTTTAAATTCTTGAAATTCATCAAGACCATTAGCATAAATTCAACTCTTCTATGATCATGACTTGTGAAAATACAAAGTTGTAATCAGTCAGTTAATAAATATTTATTGTGCTCCTACTTATATACTAAAAACCACTGTACTAGACTCTGGGAACTATTGTAGTAAAAAGTAGACATGGTTCCTGCTTTCATGGAACCTACTTAGCATACAATTCTGTGTGTGTGTGTGTGTTGGGGAGGGTAGTGGTTGCTCTGGAAGCCTTCCCCAAGTGGTGCCTAAGCTGAAACCTGATGGATAAGTAGGTGTTGCCTAGCTATAGGATAGTGGGGAAATGGGTCAGAGGGAACAAACGGTATGTGTAAAGGTACTAATGATGGAGTTGGTCAATCTGGAGAGTGACAGGAATATTTATTCCTATGGCTTCCCCCAGCCCCCCACCCTTTTTTACATAGCCTGTCTCCTGGTTCCATTGACCACTCCCGACCCCCAACCCTTCAGACCTAAGGGTAGTAACAGCACCCTAACATTACTAGCCCCAATGTTACCAGTCCTGAGAACTGCACTTTCCCTTGGAGTTTCCCTACACCATATGCATAGCTTTGTAAAGTTCCTTTATTAAACTTTCCTCAAATTATCCAATGTCAGTAAGCCATCTATTTCCTGCTGGCACCCTGATTAATAAAAAGTTCTGGAGAGAGACTTGGGAGATGTCTGCATATTTTAGATAGTATTTGGGACCGTGGGAACGGAGATGGTCTGGGAAGAGGGTTGAAGATGAACCCTGGGCCAATGAGCGTCTGAAGTAGGAAACCTGGGAACAGCAGTGTTACCAGCCAAGAATGCTTCAAAAAAAGAAACTATCAATTGTATCAAGTGCTATTGAGAGGCTGGATGAGTAAAATGAGGGCTTTGGAATTCCCCATGAGAAAGCCATCAGTGACCCTTGGAGTGTTGGGGGCAAAATCAACACTGGAGTGGACTGTAAAGGTGATTGGAAGCAAAGAACACACCTGTTACCTTCAAAAAAACCCATAACTGTTTAGGTTCCTATTTTAACTCTACCAGTGACTTGCTGAAGAATCTTGAGACCTCTGTCTTAATTCCTGAGAGGTAAGTATAAACATAAAACAACCACTCTCCTTGCAGTTACAAAAAAACAATACCTGGACAATGTTAAAGTTAATGTAAGCTACGGAAGTGTAGAGAATTGAAGTTCTCAAACAGAGTAAATTATTTCCCCCACTTTCAGACACTGAGACAAAGGGCAGGCTTTGCCAAAAATCTTTTTGGTCTCTCTAAAATGAAAGATTAAGCTCTTTTACACTGAAGCCTGCAACTAAGCATGTCTAAGAAGCCCCTACTCGACATACAATAACAAGCAGTTTCTAACCAGGGTGCAAGATATTTGAAACCTAAAGCATTCTCATGACCACAATAAGTAACCAAACTCCATAGCCCGAGAAATTGTTAGAACGCTCAGATCCCTTTCTTTGAGAACATGAGCCTGTGAAATTATCTAACTTTGATCCAGTTGGGCTTTCTCCTCCCTTCCCAGTCCACTGAACATCACACAAAACTGACTGCCAGGCCAGCATAATGCTAAATCTGGGCGATTGGGAAACTGCTCTAGGGACGGTCAATCAAGAGGCTCCCTCGGTATCCTCCATTCTTTACTACAGAGCAAGCAGTTAGTTCTGGCTACCTTCATTTATTTTTAGAAGATTCCTTTGTTTCAACTAAACCTCCTGGAGACTATTTTCTCCACAAAAAGACAGTATATAATATGTACTTTCAACATCAAAATTAACAACATTTGATTAACTGATTTAGACAAAGGTCAACCTCTTCACAAGGGTAAAACTTGCCCCTCGTTTTCATCCTTCGGAAGAGACCCAGGTGACCACCCAAAATGCAGGTTAAGAAGGCACCATTGCTATAGCAGGGACAGGGTCCAGTTTGAAGAGCACAGGCTTTGGAATCAGGAAAGCTGATTTTATTTAAGTTATATGGCCCCCCTTGCACCCCTTCACTGACTACCTGTAAACAGATTGTTTCGTTTTTTCACTTTGCAAGGTTGTTTGAACAGTGTTTACAGGTGCCAAGCCCACCACAGTAGGTATTTCATAATAGGGGAACTATTTTTCTTTTTACTTGCTACACCCAAATGCTTGTATTTTAGGACAAAGAGGCCCAGTTTCAAGTGGTTCACGTAAGAAAAAGAGGTGCTATGGCAGACAAAACTCTACGGTCTCCACACACCACCTCTTGTGTTCACTGTGTAACTTGAGTGTGGACAGGACAACTGTCTTGTTAGGTGACTGGCTCTGGAGACCTGCTGGCTGGGTACCGTGAGTGCCATGTTGGGAGACCCCAAGTGGTAAGGAACTAAGGGGGCCCTCCAGCCAGTAGTCTGGGCTCTCCATCCTACAGCCACAGGGAATGAATTCTGCCAACAACCCAAGTGAATTTGGGGTGAATTATTCCCAAGTCACCTCATGAGAATGCAACCGAGTTGACACCTGTTGCAGCCTTGTGAGACCCTGAGCAAAGGACCCAGCCACACTGCACCTAGATGGAAACTGAGATCAATTTCTCTTAAGCCACTACATTTTTGGTAATTTTATTAAACAGCAATAGATCATGTAGGTGCTGTCATCCTTCCAGTAGTACTTAGGTTAACTTAGTAGCTTCACAGTAACTAGATTAGGTGCTGGCAAAATCACCTAGACTATCCCAAAGCTAATTTAATTGTAGTATAAGAAGTTTGACCCAGAGGATCTACCTTTCCCAGGTAATAAACTGTTTTTAAAACTTTGATATATGGGAGTTCCCTGGTGGCCTAGTGGTTAGGATTCCAGGCTTTCACTGCCGTGGCCCAGGTTCAATCCTTGGTTGGGGAACTGAGATCCCGAAAGCCGCACGGCACAGAAAAAAAACCTTTGGTATGAATTATACCTCTTTGGATTCATGATAAATCTGTAAAGTAAACAATTCTGTGAAGTAAAAGAAGTTTGGAGACTCACAAAAGTCAAGAGACTCAAATGGCTAATAAGGGGGTAGAGCCGGGAATCAGAGAACCCAGGTCTGACCCCAATCCCAAAAATCTACCTTTCTCTATAACCACCTTTTATAGTTTCTCTAAAGTCTCAATGATGCTTCCCATTATGTCCATAGACAATACTAATAAAACCGTATTACAGACATTGAAACACTGGAGACCTTTTGTCCTTCACTGTTAAAATCATCTTATCCACTAGGTTAATTCCTGTGCACATCAGTTAAAATGTCTTTTACAAAAAAAAATGTCTTTTACATTTGCAGCCAGTTCAGCCGACTGTGCTCTTTTCCCCATGGGGGCCCAGTGCGCAAAAGCCTCCTCGGTAGTGTATACGGCCTGTTGCCTGTATGGGTTGCCCTAAGGGACCCTGGAGACAGCCCTTTCCAGCGGACGTTAATGACTGACATTAACAGCGGACGTTAATAACTGACCCTGGAGCCAGTCTAGGCTCCAGACAGGTATGCGTGGTGCCTTTGGAAAGCCCCAGGGCACAGTGGCCAGGGTCCACATTGGCCAGGTCATAATGTCCATCCGCACCAAGCTGCAGAACAAGGAGCATGTGATTGAGGCCCTCCACAGGGCCAAGTTCAAGTTCCCTGGCCGCCAGAAGATCCACATCTCCAAGAAGTGGGGATTTACTAAGTTTAATGCAGATGAATTTGAAAACATGGTGGCAGAAAAGCAGCTCATCCCAGATGGCTGTGGGGTCAAGTACATCCCTAATCGTGGCCCCCTGGACAAATGGCGCGCCCTGCACTCGTGAGAGCCTTGGCGCTGCCCCCTCCCTACCCATGCCCACCAATAAACCCTACTTTGTTGTCCCTGTCAACAACAACAAAAAATGTCTTTATAGTCAGTCTCCGACTTAATGATGGTTCAACTTAGGATTTTTTGACTTAACAGTCATGCAAAAGCGATATGCATTCAGTAGAAATCAGACTTCAACTGTGATCTTTTTCCCAGGCTAGCAATATGCAGTATATGACACTCTTGTGATGCAGCGGCAGGAGGGAGCCACAGTGAGCCACAGACCCCAGTCAGCCACGCGATCAGGAGGGTAAACTACCAGTACATTTAGCCATTCTTGCTTTCACTTTCAGTACAGTATTCAATGAATTACATGAGATAGTCAACACTTTAATGAAAAATAGGTTTTGTGTTAGATGATCTTGCCAACTGTAAGCTAATGTAAATGTTCTGAGCATGTTTAAGGTAGACTAGGCTAAGCTATGATGTATTAAATGCATTTTTGACTTAAAATATTTTCAACTTACTTTGGGTTTATTGGGACGTAACCCCATGGTAAGTGGAGGAAGATCTATATTTTAAAGTCTGTGTTTCTCAGTAAAGAGGACTTCTTTCCTTCATGGCTTGTTATAATACTAAGGGCTTACACTGAGTATCTGTGAGGGTCAAAAACATTAGTTACTCTTACTTAAGAACACCTTTCAGACAAAGCCACAAAACAGCTTCTTTTATTTTCTAGTAAGACTAAATTTATTCAATACCCTAGTAAAAGTTTTGATTATAAGTATCCAACAGTATAAAAAGTACAAAACAGATTTGTAGATTTCTAATATATTAATACAAAGTGCATGACTACATACAGTACATCCTACAGGCAAAGAGAGGTGGAAGGGGAAAAAGAAGACTGTGGTTGAGGTCTAGTAATAAATAAATAAATACAGAAGTAGAGATGATCCATATTATAGTATATTCTACCACCAGTACTGCAGCCAAAATGTACAAAAAAAAAGAGAGAAAAAAAACCACTTCAAAATAACTCAGGAGGAAGATGATAATGGCTGGGATTCTTGTAATACACCTCAAAGTCTGTGGGACAGCTGACCCAACTCACTATGTAGTCTGTGCATATGGTGGCTTGTAGCTTTTTCCAGAGGAAGAAATATAAAATTTTAAGTTTAGATTAAGAACTATAAAACTATAGGATACCCATAAAAATTGGCTCACTCCTTCTTGTTATTTATACTATCCAATCTTTAAAATCCAGTTTTAAAAATAAGCACTGAGTCATGTTATTACAAGGTAGGCAAATGATCCTCCCGCATTATGAACAGTCTGAACTGGTGATATATTCTTCCTGAACTTTTAGAAAAGAGGCAATAGATAGTACTTTGGTTTGGGTTCAAGTAAAAGGCTTTTAATGAAGGTTTTACAATTGAAGAGCTCCACGTTTAGGATGTATCATCTAACACCTCAATGTTCAGAAAGCCTGACTAAAAGAAACCAAACCAAAACCAACCCACTCAGCATTAACACACACCTCTTTTCTTTTAGTAGAATTTTACTTTAATATAGAATGAAAAACAAAAAACAAAAACCCAAAACCCTAATAGGTTAAAACAAGTCAAACAACCATTCTACACAGATAAAACCTTCACAAAGGTCAACCGAAGTAATCCAGAGCTAAAACTGAATTGTGCAGATTTTCATTGAAGTCACCAGTCATGTAACATAAACAAATTATTTACACACTTGCAAGCCCTCTAAGAAATGTGCCCCAAGAAGCATTAACCTTTGTTTTTTTCATGTGCCATCCTGAAGACTTGCACATTTTATTTTTCAGATAATTTAACATTTTAATAGAGTGCATTCTCTACCAAGGGGTAATGCTTTGGTACTATTCATATAGGATTGCCTATCCTAAAGATTTGACATTTCCCCAAGAGGAACTTTGATTCTGCTTTAGAAGTTTCATATAAATTAAAAACTTTATCAAATATCAATATGGAGGGAGGTGACACAGGATGCAACATATACAGTCAAGTTACCTCTGTATGTTTAGAAATTACTCCTTCAAGATATTCGCACTAGAGAGCTTAGTCCGTCCCGCTTAATATTCAGTAGTACAGGTTTGAATCATCAGAACCTTGGCAACACCTTAATATTTCAAAGTTATTAACAACTACCTCTAGGGGCAAGTCTGTGTTTACTGAGTTATGACAAATTTATTATAACGAAGGAAAACAAGTGTAGCCAGCCATCTTAAAAAATGCCCCAACCACTGCTTCTCAATATAGAAAGACTAAAACTACATACGTTTATCATACAACAAATCCCATCTCTGTCCCCTGAAATTCCCCTAATTTCATTCATTAGAAGGGGATTTTTTTAAAAAGCCTTAAAGAGCACTTTACAGCAGCATTCAGCTTTCCTATGAAATACTCAGCATCTTAAATATTATGTACACTTCTTTTTTTCCTTTTAGTAAGCTAGATACTGGCTTCAGACTTTGTGGAACTGGAGGGAAAATAACCCACTCAAAACTATTCTAGAAATCATCTTTTGGCAGAATAACAGGTATCCAAGTTAAAAACAGGAGGGTCATTTTGTTGGTGTTTTCCAAAATTTAACTCATTTTTTGTTCCCCTTCTACAGCAACCTCAGTCACCACTCCTGAGTGGAGATGGGCAGAGGCTCTGGCCCCTGAGCCTCCGGCTTCTCAGCAGCTGCTTTCTTATTGCTGCAGCAAGGCTTGAACAGATGTGTGTCGATGAGGACTTCCCCAAAACGGCCTTTATAGATAATGCCACAGCATATTTTCTGTCTAAAAGAAAAAAATGGAGGGACAACAAAATATATTAAATAAGGCAGAAAAATAGGAATACAAAAAAAGGAAAAATCTACTCATCATTATAACTAGTACAGCATGATCAAAGGTTCTACTTCCACAATCTCATCACATTCCTAATGAATGGGCTCCTAGAGTGACCCCAATTTGCTAGGTAATGGGAATTACCCAGGCGCCTTAAACCCCACACTGGAATCTTATCAAATATTAAGGGGGAAGAAGGCAATCTGAGAGACAGCAGTCAGTTTCAGAGGCTGCTCCTAAAGTTATAAACGGTTTCCTCCAAAAATCACCAAATCTTAAAGAAAACAGCCACCATAAACAGGCTGATACAGCTGGTGGTTTTATTTTAATACTGAGCAGACAAAAAATATATACACATATTATCAAATATACATAAAGGCATACAAAAATGACAACACAACAAATCATCCATGGATCACACACTCTAAAAAAAACTATTATTTCCTATGAAGTCCCCCGTATGCCCCTCTCCAATCCCACTCCACCCAATCTCATTCTCTCCTCCTTAATTTCAGGTTTATCACTGTTTTTTCTTTATATACAACGTTTGCATCTCTAAACATATTGCTTGTTATCTCATATATATAATATATAAAATAAAATATATATATAGAAATGCATATATATGGAATCACACTGTACGCTACAATTTTTTTGCTCAACAGTGACTGAGGTTCATATATATTGTTAGAGCTTTATTTCATTTTAACTTATGTACGGTATTCCACCATGTGAATATACCACAATTTACCCACTCTCCTTCTGATGGGACAATTTTTGCTATTACAAACATGCTGTACATACTGGTGCACAGGTCTGAAGGTGTTTTCCTAGGTTACGTTGCTGGGCTATAGGAATGGGAACGTGTTCAACTTTACTCAAAAATGCAAATTATTTATCAATGTGGTTACCTTCTATTCCTATTTTGCTAAAGGTTTTATTTTAAACCTTGAAGCAAAGTTCAAATTTATCAAACATCTTCAATATACCACTAATACAATAAGCATTTTCTCCCTCCTTTAGGAAACTGTCAAATTATATTAGTTGGCTTTCTAATGCTTCAAACAATCTCACATCCCTAGAATAAATCTAATCTAGTTATGATATATTGTTTATAACATATCAAAGTTATGTTAGCCTCATAGAATGCTTGGAGCCTATGCCCTCTTTTATCCATAATCTGGAAAAGCCAGTGCAAGATTAGAATCATTTGTTTCTGGAATGTTTGGTAGAATTTGTCTATCTAGGCCTGGGATTTTTCGAGGGAAGACTTCTGACCACTGAATCCATTCCTTTATTATGAGACAATTCAGGTTTTCTACTTTTTCCTGAGACAGTTTTGGTGAAGTGTCTTTTTCTACTAATGTATCCACTTCACCTATATGTTCAAATTTATTGTCATGAAGCTGTTTCTAATATCCTATTGTCTTCTAAACTTCTGCTTTTTCTATAGCTGAATCTCCCTTTTCTTATCCAAGATGCTTATGGGTACCATCTCTTTTTCTTGACCTGCTTTATCTCTAGTAACTTTTTTGGTTATGTTTTTCAAGAACCAACTCTTAGCTTTACTGATACTATCCATTCATATTGATTTTCTACTCCATTTATTTCTACTCCTATCTTTAGGATTTCCTTGCTTTTATTTTTTTTTTATATTGAGCTTCATTAATCTTTAAATTGGATACATGTAACTTCATTTGTTTTAAATCTTTCTTTTGTAAGAAGCATTAAAGGCAACTTTTCTTCCACCTCTTTAACTTCATACCACATGTTTTGATTTGTGGTATTTTGGGGGTTTTTTTAGTTATAAGGATTTTCTAATTTATACTTTCTTCTTGAACCCATGGTTTCTTAATTTACAAATATATGGAGGTTTTCATCATTTTATTTTGCTAGATTGATTGACTGATTTATGGATGCGTTGGGTCTTCATCGCTGCACGCAGGCTTTCTCTAGTTGCAGCGAACAGGGGCTGCTCTTCGTTGTGGCACGCAGGCTTCTCATTGCGGTGGCTTCTCTTGTTGCGGAGCACGGGCTCTAGGCACACAGGCTTCAGTAGTTGTGGCTTGCGGGCTCAGTAGTTGTGGTGCACAGGCTAATTTGCTCCACAGCACATGGGATCTTCCTGGACCAGGGATCGAACCCAC